AAGACAAATGTGATAATGTTGTTCCGTTTTCAAGGGCCAAGGCGGCTTTCACTTTTTTCTTCCTTTGCAAAATTTTCTCGCATCTGCCCCGGATTCCGTTGCGTAATCTATTACGCTAACTTTATAGCAGCAGCTCATTAATGGGTGCTGGTGCCAGGGCTTAGAAAAAGTCATAAAAATATCCCTTGCAAGGTCCTTAAACACACTACCCAGATCGTGTGATACATTCTTCTAACGTACATAAAATTTTCGTTATCCGAAAATCCTTATATCTATCATGTCTTAGGGAAAGTACGCCGCAAACCAAATTGCACCCTTTAAACCCATAAAAATGGGGTGCGATGTACCGTAAAAATTAGGGCACTACCGCGCACCCTAAAATACGCTGTTCGGCTGTTCACACAAGCCGCACCTTTTGAGGTGAAAGGGGTGTTCCCATGAAGAGAGAGAGAGAGAGAGAGAGAGAGAGAGAGAGAGAAGGAGAGCGAACAGCTCGAGAAAGTGGGTTATCACGCCTCGAGAAGCAGCGAACACCTAAAATGCGCGCATCCCCTGACTGGGGGTTTGCCCAACGGAATGGGCCGGAAAGTGGCGGGTTGTTTGGAGATCGGGGTCGAGAACTGGGTGTTTTATACGTTGAAGCATACCTTAACATCTCCCAAGCTCAAAAACAGTTTTTGGTCGATCTTGTGATCCCTCTTTAAAACCACGAATCCGCTAACGGTGAAAATTTGGTTCCAAATTATAAATTTTGCATTTTCTTCTTGAAGATCTTGAAATCTTGAAATATTCGGTCGAATAACTTGAATTTTGTTTTTTGGCTTTTTGTGGAGCTGATTGCAGAAAAATCCAGGTAGATCCATTTAAAATTAAGCCTTGCCCATAAGTTTTTAATGAAAGATAAAAATCTATATAAAATAAAAATGCAAAATAGACGTTTAGAAAATAATCAATATTTTAAGCGCATTTTATGTTTTACAATCTCGAACTTTTCGTAGCAAATTTTATCTCTTGGTTAACTAGTTACTAAAAATAGTTCATAAGATTTCGCATAAAATCCCCTATTGAAAACAAAACTATCAATTTTTATTTTAACTTTTGTCAAAAAATGTAGACGATATCGACCTATGCCTATTCGGCCCGTTTTTTCGCTGCACCAAATTTAAATTTCTAACTTAAAAATTTCTAAAAATAGAGCCCAAAAACCAGCTTCAAATCCTAAATTAGGCCATGATTTCGATCGCCATTTTATATAGAGCGCCTGGCCAAATGCCAGCACCAAAAATGCCGGCTGCTCGGATTTCACTAACGCCAGCAAGCAGAGCGGCTGGCCAGTTTTGGGCACCTCCATGACGCGTTCTCCCCGGCCCGCAAAGGGCCTATTGATAAACGGTAACCCAATCATCACGCCACGACGACGTCCCCTAAGTGAGACGCCACCGGAATTTCGGGGAGCGTCACGTAGCGCCGCTCGTAAACAGGATGGAGGTGGAAACGGTAGGTTCTAAAATAAGCGCGATACCTATTTGAGGCCAAATTTCATGCCAAATTCCTAACAAGTGTCGTCGGGACTTTGGCATCGGACCAAGCCTATCTTATGCAGAATTTTACGTTGATTCCGGATATGGTAGCCGTTTTGGCGGAATAGCCATTTATCGAAAGTTATGAACGATTTAAACCTCAAAACAGCCCAAAATCGGCTACTTTCGGCTACTCAAGGCTTCAGAATAGGTTGTAGACAAAACCAGACACTGCATCTTCCGGATTACAAGGAGTCGTGTTTAGGTGATATTGGAGTTTTTGAACGAAACCTAGCTAGTTCAATAGAGAAAAAAATAGAGAAGGCTTGGTCCCATGCCAAAGTCCCGAAGACACTCAAAAGCGTCGGGTCTGTTGACGTTCCGCGACCGTACTAATGACGCTGGTTTTTGTGTCAAATAAAACTGGAAACATTGTAATCATCAGCGTATCACCGTATTCTATAAAAATACCCTGGTTACATCCGAAAATTTCAGAACGAATTCAAATCTAAGATAAGCAAAAAATCCGAACTACTCGCAATCGGCGCTCCAATTCCTCAAGAAATTTTTGAAAAAAAAACAGGAAGAAAGAAATTGGAAAATATATTCAAGATTTTCACTAACTGATTCACAGATTTCCAAATGAATGCATTCGTACGCTAGCGGGAAAGAAAATTATGAAAATTGCCTAACGGAACGGTTTAAAAAAGCAGAACTGACGTTAAAAATTCACAAAATACCTGGTCGTAAAAAGTATGATAAGTACTAAGAAAGCCCAAAAAAATAACTCAGACTTAAGATACGCTTAAAGCGCACGTTCAGGGAGGGGCCGTGTACTCGGTCCAACGTGTACACCCTATGGACGTGGGGACCGCGCGCACCGCCTGCCCGTGCCGTGGGAGGCAATTCCGCCCCTTTGCGGCGTGGGGCGCCCCTTTAAAGGATCCTAATCATCCCAAGAATCAAGCCAAAGATCCCAAAGACCCGAATGTCGTCAAATATGCTTCAAAAGTTCCGATTGGCATGAAAGGATTCCGAGACAATCCTAAGAACGCCTATACGTCTTAAAATAAGCTAAAACCATCGCAACCATCACAAAAACCCACTGTCGAGAAGCCTGTGACTACTGCCCAGTCCCGGGGTACAGAAGCCGGGGGCGCGCCCGGGTGTGTAGCGATGTGTGAATAGGCGCCCGCCGTAGTGGGCAATTCTATAGACCAAAAAGAAGAAGAAGAAGAAGTGGGGGCCGTCGAGATGTTGTATGTATTCTTGTGTACATATTATGTCATCATCAAGCGGCCATGATCCCACGACGACCAGGACACCCGTTTCTTCGGTCATCGCCCGGGCTTCTTCTCTTTCTTCTTATGGATTCCCCAGCGTTTGCCCCTTCCCGATTATTTGCCGATGATTTGTGTGGGGCGATGGACACCTGGGGAGTGTGTGGATACCAACATTGAATGAATGAGGCGTCAAACAAGCTGCAATTACCCAGGGGGGAGGGGGTCCTTGGGGCAAAGAACCGCACCAAAGAGTCTCTGCAGGGTTTCTGGCTTTAAAATTATTTAATACCAGAATACCGTCGAAAATTAATCTTGCCGAAATTCCATTTGTTCAAAAGCAAAGCATCCAAAGTATTAAATTCACGCGAAGTTCATTACTCTCAAGGAGTTGGCTTGGCGAAATCGCAGCGTACTAAAAATTTTCTAAATTAAGAAGGGATTTTTAATTTAGAAACATAAAGTAAGTAAAAAAGTTAGCCCTTTCAACCACGCGATTAAAAACAAAGAAAAATGCGTGCTTTCCGAGAATTTCCTTGATCCCTACAACCTAAATCCCGGCAGCAAAATACCGACAGACAATCGTGAAAATTAAAATCCGGGAAGAGCAATGGCGCCTACCGAAAGAGTGACATTGAACCAAGGGTGAAGATTACGATTTACGACTAAGATTTTGGCTGTCGGGCTTTCCGTCGAGGGGATTTAGGTTGTCGGTATTTTAGCTTGTCGGGATTTTGACCTGACAGTATTTTATATGGCACAATTTTTGCTACATGCGTTTGACTGTCGGGATTTTACCTCTGCTTTCGATTCGCGAAATTGAACTAATGTTCCTAAATTTACTCTTGCCAGTTGGCTATATGTATCAGAAAGCAAGCAACGCTCAAATATACACCTTTAAGCTGCGAATCCCGGGGGAAACAAGCTATATCCATAGCGTAATACTCTCCAATGTTCCTCCTCCAGGATAACAGGTTTTGCAGTCTATTGGTGTGGATAGATAGAGAGTGTAGGGGTGGATTATGAGTGGATGACTGACACCACTACGGCGAAAGAGTGAGAGAAAGAGAGAAAGAGACAGGGCGAGAGAGAGAGAAAGAGAGGCTGGGTGCCGGATCAGCAACACTATGTGCAAACACCCACTACCAGAAGATACACACAACAAAAAGTTGACCGTGCCGGTGGTTAGACTAGAGAATTAGCGGGTTAAAGGGACAAGGAAGAGTTGAAATCTACGTTTCGACTAGGTCTGGACAGCTAGACGAGGACTATTTCATTGAAAGGACAATCAAAAGTATCTGGACTCTGTAATTTGGTGTACCGCGTAATTGTATCTACCTAGAGGACGGAAGTTTTCATTTTCACACTTGCTAGTGCTTTTAAAAGAGAACAATTTCTAGATTTTCAGGGTTCTTTTGCGGAACGGAAAGTCCAGGACGGAAATTCTCCTATTTTCCCAAGGATCCCGCTACTTAACGCCACCGCGGAACTCCACTTCAGACGGTACTTCCAAAATTTCAGACATGACTTTTTTGGGGGAAGTTCTTGGAACGGTGATGCTTGAGGAAGAGAAACGTCAAGTGGATGGGAATCAGGATTTTCACTTTTAACCAGAGCAAGAGAGAGAAAAAGGGAGAGAGGGCGAGAGAGAGGGAGAGAGAGCGAGATAATGAAAGAGAGCGCGAGACCGAGCTACATTTTCAATCGGATGAAATTAGAATTTGCATGCAATGATCCGGCCCGCCCAGACGTGATCGTGGACCCCCAGGCGAATATCTCAAGTGCCGGCTGCCCGTGCAAATTTCGAGGCGTCGGCTTGAGGGTAGCAAAGACGCGGGGGGCCCCTGGGGCGGCTCCGTAAATCAGCGATAAACATGGGGCTAATGGAACCGATCTGGCGGAATGCGGTTCATTTGCTGTGATAGCCCTTTCGTGATTATTTTGCGTTGGAAGCTGAATCAGGAAAGAAACATTTATAGCAACTGTAAGCCAGTACCAGGCCACGGTAAAACAAATCTCACGAAAATTGGATCAGCTAGCGGTTTGGTTACGAGAGAGAGAGAGAGAGAGAGAGAGAGAGAGAGAGAGAGAAAGAGAGAGATAGAGAGAAAGAGAGAGATAGAGAGAGATAGAGAAAGAGAGTGGGAAAGAGAGAGAGAGATTTCAAGGACGAGAGAGAGGGCAAAAATAACAGATGTTAAGATAAAAGAAAATCTAATTCATCGGTGGCACGACAGGGCTGGCATGGGGTGCATCCGATGTCGCGACAATCAGCAGCCGGGAATTCCAACACATTGCACGGTCCTTTGGGCCAAACATAGAATATTGGATCCTTTCCGGCGGTACTGAGCAAGGACTGTGTTGCCGCGAGTGCGGTGAGATATAAGTTTCCCTTGTTCCCGTTTGCAAATCGGTAAATTGGCACCGTAGCCTGGCAGGCATTTCCGGCTAGGGCCACGTAGCCGATCCGCACGCTGCCGGCTCCGATTTTTAGTGTCATCCCTAAAAATTTATTTTTAGCTTATCTGTTTTACAGGTTGTTTCAGGATATTGAATATGTGCATACAGCCTTCAAAAACCGCTGCCCGACTTATTGTCGAGTTTTTTTTGGTTTAGCTTTTTCGTCGGATTTTCCCTTACAATTCTCCAATTTTCACAAAAAAATTTAATTTTATACGCAATAACGCGGGTTTATCAAAATGCAATACTTCCGTCGGCGTCCCCAGTCCAATTTGCCCCTAACGATGTTTTTTCACCATCCAAAAATGACTTTCTGCCATTTGAAGTGCGGACCTGTACAGCAAAATGCGAACACTGTTTTTATGACAGTAATTTATTTTTCTTTTGAATGTCATTTTATTTTATGCGGTAGGATTTCGTGGATTTTGACGGTCATCAAATGCGCATTTCCCAGCGTTACCCAAAAGCTTACCGTTTGCCGAGATGTAGAGCTCTTGCAGCCCGTCACAATTTATCAGCTTGGACTGGAAGCTCCAGGTTGACCTAATAACATTCATCTTTTCTTTCGGTAACCAACTCACCCGGCACAGTAGTTTGGCGCCGCGTTTGTTCGCGGCATTTTTTTCCAGAAATAAGCAGTCTTGTTGTAATAGCGCGGTATGTGCAGTAAGGTCAATATGAAAGGTGGCGTAGTTGTACCGGCTAAATATTGGAAAAATTTCCATGCGTAGGAAACTGGGACTTGTCGGTATTGTCGGTGAAGTTGAGGCCGCCGTCACCACACTTTCGGTGCTTGGCGACTCTCTTCGATAACCGACACATCTTGTAGCGCCCGGTTCCAAGAGGGGTGGCGCTATGCTAAACTTGTTGTTATCGCCAAAATTTCGAAAAACGCCCGAGTTCGCGGTTCTTTTAGTATACCGTGATTGAATAATGTCGAAAAGTCAGAATGTCGAAATTTAGCATGCCGTTTTGGTTTAAGATCAAGAGATTGTAAACTTCGAGCTAAAATTAATTTTGCGGTTCTTCCTTTCCCGCAGTTACGCGATTATAACAGTACGACATTCTGATCTTTCGACGCTAGGAAATTTCGAGATTTTCGATTCACCAGACTTGGTGATTTCGAATTTCGACATTCTGAGTTCGACCCTCATCTTTTTTTTGAAGCTTACCCATCTCCGGTGCCCAACAAACAATTCAACATTTGTAGCGGCTCATCAAAACAGCAATGAATGTATTGGCATTCTTCAGCTACGGAACAATTCGACAGAGCGTCTTTTAACTATAATATTTAAATTGCGTTTGAATTTGGTCGTTTCATCGCTAAAAACATAAAAAAAATCACCCTATCAAAATTCCCGACGTCGGCCAGGTTTTCAAAGTTTAAATTGGGTACGTCTTTGTCGGTTATTCTGACAAACTCGTATAATGCATTAACCTAAAACAATAATTAGAGATGAGTTACAATTCAGATACCGCAGAACTTGATAAAACCATAATAGAAAATAATAATAGAAGCATTTTCGGATCGAACTTTTTCTGATTCCTACCTCTCAACAGTTGTCGCCTTATGTGTCGGCACCTAGCGCGTTGTTGTGGGAGACCGAAGTTGGTGTAAATTACGAGACGGCAACCCTAGGTACGCGTCATAAAAAAGGGAACTAACAAGGGAAAGGCAAGAAGTGAAGGTGGGCTTTGGAAATCAGACCGTGCCCATCCTGTGCAGAATTTTGAGCTGATCACGCTCCAGATGTTAGATTTTCCGGAATAGCCATTGCTGGAAGGATACAGTGCATTTGTCAAGCCATTTCCGGAGATTCGGGCTTTAGAGCTCATGTAAGGACCATGGAATAACATTTTGTGGAACTTACAAATTCGACCGCGCTCAGAAAAACGGTACTCTTTTGAATAAGCTAGCTCGCGAAGAGCCTTTCCGAAATTTTCGAAAAAATAATTACCTGCATGATGCCGATTTTCGTAGCGTCGATTTACAAAATGCCGATTTTACATAATGCCGATTTACATGATGCCGATTTTACCGAACGTCGATTTTCGCAATACTAATGTATAACCCTCTAGAAATGCTTAGTAACGAGTGTTTTATAGATTTGAAATTTGGGCGAAAAATCGGCAATTTTCGTCGATAAATCCAACTTTTTTTAAATAAAAGTTAATTTTTTTGAATTTAGGTTTTTCACCGGCCTCAAAAATTTCATTTATTCATCATCTTTCATTTCAGTAGGGTCTCCATTTTTCGCGTTTGTACACGATCCGGCGGTAGTGTGCTTTTCGTATGTTTTACACCCATCGGCAGCAGTCTCGGCTCTGAAAGTATGGAATGCTTTTCTTTTTTAAGGAAAATGCATAAAAATCGGCTAACCCGCCAATTGTTCCTAATTTAAAAAGAGGCTCAGAAATCGCGGAATAATAGCAGCAGCGCACATACACGCAGAGTTGAGTGGAATTGCACATTTGGAAGGCGTCGCGTAGCTAAAAGTCGGCCTTTTAAGCTTTCTTGGACTTTCAAACCGACGTAAATCCACCGGGTACTGTAATGGACTGGAAATTGACGCTGGTTTCGTTTGTGACTTGCTGGAAAGTCGATTGAGCCTGAAATTCCATATTTTACGATCTAGGCTGTGCTACCTCAGCCAGGTAAACCAGACAGAATACCAGGAAGTGGAGAAACATTTTACTAAACAACAACAGAATGCACCCGGAATTGTAGTTTTCCAAGGTTGCCCAGCGACGAATGGTCGGTATGAAAAATTGGATCTGGACACAGCGTTGCGAACACCTATTCCGAAAGGTCAACCGCGCCAGCAGTAAAAACTGGTAGTGTATTTTTTGAGGCTCAATTTAATAGCGTTAACAGAATGTCAAAAATAATATCGAAAATCCCGAAAAATAGCTTACCCACCCCATTTTCAGGGCCCTTTTACCTTTGTTCTAGCTTTCTTAAGTTATTGATTTTTGATCTAGAGTTACAATTTCTTAGTATATTTTGTTGATTTTCTTGGGCTGCGATGATGTAATCCCTAAAAACATAAAATATTGAAAAATCTACGACATTAACGCCCCCCCCCCGCTAACGAACAAGAACCTGGAGAGTTCTTGTTCAGCGGCGGCCGCTGGCAATTCTTCAGAAACTTGTCAAAAGCCAGAAGTTTCAGATCCAGAAGTTGCCTCTAAACGGCCTTTTATTTCGTACGTGGATGCTGCTTTAAGCTGTTAAGTAGAGATGTTATTATTCAAATCAAATCTGAGGATTTGAAAGTTTCTCAAATCAAATCCAGATTTGATTTGATTTGCCGGCAGAATCAAATCAAATCGGATTTGATTTGAACCGGAAGTCCAATCCAAATCAAATCCTGGACCGATTTGATTTGATTAATTTGAGCAACCCAAATTTCCGAAGCAAATGCGAGAAAATGGATGCTTATCAGCCATTTCCGGTTTATTCAATGATGATCATATGCAAAAAAAATTAAAATTTCCGTCTTTCCCTACATTTTTTTGGTGCTCGACTTGTGATTTACATCCGTAAAAATTACTCCAGATTTGAAAGTTTCAAATCAAATCTGGATTTGATTTGAAAGTCCAGCCAGTTTCAAATCAAATCCAGATTTGATTTCGGCGGAATCAAATCTCAAATCTTCTTATTCAAATCAAATCGGATTTGAGTAGGATTTGATTTGAATAATAACATCTCTACTGTTAAGCGAACTTTCGTATGTTGCAAAGACATATTCAGGGCGTGCAATAACAATTCATGCCGTGGACCTCAACCACAACGCGGAGCAGTCGATTCGACGTTACTCTTGAGGCATTGATTTTTGACGGTCTGGTCGACGCACGTCGACGAGCTGGACCAAGTTGCGAAGATGGCCGTTCGACTGTCGTACCCGTCATCGGGCCGGACATCCTCTCGTAGATATTGAAAGCCTGGGTTGCCCTGGTACTGGAAGATTGTTTGGTTGGCGCCGCATGAGTTCGTTAGGTTTGCGACCCAGCCGAGCCTGGTCCAAAGAGTAATATTCCGGTTGGCGCCAACGAGTTGGGCACCTAAAAAGATTTCTTGGGTAATATTGAAATTGTGTGAGTAGCTCATTTGACAGGGCTTCAGCTTTTGAACGTATCCCATTTTTAAAAAAACCTCAACGACCAGGGGTTGGGAAAGGCATGGATCGGTGCCCCATGAGAGGCATATCGCGTGCCCCCCATCCTACGGCACTAGAAAGCCGTAGGAAGCGGGTTCGATCACCGCCGGGAGTAATTGTTTTGCGCATTGGACTCGGAGCTGTCTTTGGTGTTGGAAAAAGTGTTGGAAAAAAGATAAATTGAATTGAATTGAATTGAATTTGAAAATAACTTGGCCGGAAGCTCAGAGCACCTCGGAATGGGTGTCCCTAAATCTCGGATGCCTCTAGTGTTCCGCTGTAGTGTCCGAATTTTTACGAATTAGGTATCCATCCAAAGCTCTTGGAGAGGTGAGTCCAGAAGCTCAATCGGATTTTCCAAATTCCGGAATGTTTGACCGGCATTTTTATTCTGTGCAAGCGGCCAAATTTTTTCCTTGAAAGTTTTTTTTTGTCAAAGAATAGTCGATGACAGCCATTGGAACAGCCATTTAAGAAAAGACGCTTCGAAGGCGCATAGGCCGGTTAAATTGAGTATTGGGAGGTACGAAAATGGTAACTTGCCGGGATAGCTAATATCAAATAATCCGGAATTTCGAAAACAACAAAGCTAGATCCGTAAAAACCATGATGGTAATACTTACCATTAGGATTAACATATAGCTCCAGCGATCCATCGCACCCCGGGTCGTTAGCGCCATACCACCAAGTATTCCTGAAGTTTTTTAATACGAAAGAAGAGATGTTATAGTCAAAATCGGGGCATCATACGGGACTAAGCTTTTGCGCTTAAAACATGCTTTTTGTACCAGCCTTTTTAATCTGGTCGTTTCGCTGATTTTGAAATCAGCATTCGAATCACCGAAAATTCTGCACAAGCTATGCTTGGCCCGTGTGGGAACCGGATTATCACAAAAAATCTCCTTTAAAACGATTGAATTACCCGTTACAATACATCGGTGTGGGTACGGTATCAGCAAGGCCGGCGCGCCAAACGTTTATATTACTGCCTCTGAGGAATCGCGGGATTCGTTTAAGTGCTGGGGGAGCGACGGATGTGGTTGTTTCACTAATTGTGGTGGTTTTGAGTATTGTACTCGGGTAGGTGGTAGGCTTTTCGGAATCGACAGTACTGGTCGTGGCGGCGGCGGAAGCTGAAATGTGCTATTTCTGGGCGGCAGTACCACATTTGCTACAATGAGCGGGCTTTTGATGTCATATCGCCTAATTTTTCCCAGTCTCTCAAGCTCTTGATTTTACCTGGAAGCTGAATTGCCGCAGCGGAAGCGCTTGCGCAAATGCCGCTTTGTTTTGCGTAGTAGATGCACTGTTCGTTTTCGCCCTCCAGCACGGCCACCCTGAATTGCGGTAGATGGTCAACTTTGGCAGATCCAAGAAATTTTTTAGAGGGGCCAGAAAATCAAATTTGGGTGTTCCGGGTCAAGTGCCCTTGCAAAAAAGGAAACGCTAAAAAAATGCCGACGAATTGTGTTCGCCGCGAAAACGGCCAAACATTTGATCTAAAAAAATGTTTTTGGGGATGGATTAGACTTCCCTGTCCCTTTAATTCACACCATACGTTCCAATCATGCCGATGACACAGCTAGCCGGAGCAGTCACTGTGCAACAGCGTACATGCGTACAATCCGCATCGGAAGTGATGCACTTTCGCATAGCAAGAGTGAGCTAAATGTGAGAAAAACTGGCTAGATGCTGCGGAAAGTACATTTGGGTAAGCAATATTGCCGGCGACAAATTGCGTGTTGGCAACGGTGGACGTTCGCGCAAAATAATTCTGCCCCCAAAAATGAACCTTAGGCTTTTAAGGTATTCCTACTACCCAACTACTATCTACCATGTTACCTTAACGTAGTAGATTGCACAAAATAGCTGTACGTATCTTAAGATGGAAGACGACATTAAATGTACTATTTCCAAGCTAATAAGCGTGCCTCAGGCTTAAATTTTCGTGGGAGGGCAAAATAAAATGTCTGTCATGTCTGGGGGGAAGTTTTCAAATTCCAAACCACGCCGCTCCCGGATAATGCCTGGCTACAAATTACTGCCGGCGCAGTGAAGCGGTGGCTCGCGGAAATTTGGTTCTGGCCCTGGAGATTAAAGGAAATTGGGTGCATCTGATGGAGTTGCTTTGGCTTTGCCTGAAAATCTTACTGCTTCCTTGACGTCGAAAATTATGATGAATGAAATTTCGAAACTATGAAATTTCGACGTTACGAATTTGACATTATCATCACAAACCAAGTGATTCATCAAGCAGACTCCCTCCATGTGTTGTTTTCAAGAAAGTTGAAGCCATTTATCAACGACCTTAATTGCCGCCTCACGACGTGCAAACCGGGTACATCTTCTTATATATAGCACAGTTTGTGTCCATCTTCGTGTCGATGCACGTCCCGCCGACCCCCGTCCACGCATAGAAGACGATGCCGAGGCGTCGGCCTGGATTCCGTGTCGTCCCTGCGGCCAGGTAGAAGTTGTACGTCGTGGCGGCGGCTCCGGTTCCGACTAAAACCACGTTTGGAAGGAGGTGGAACCCGGACGGCTTGTTGCGTAGCTACCTCACCAATCGTAGCCGCGAGCCACAGAGGTGTAAGGTATACCGAAATTCTGGCAAAGCGGCGACAAAGAGGCAAATTCTCGCAAGTGACGCACTCTTTGAAAGATTTTAGTGTACCTTAAACCCTTAGGGCCGTCGTTTTAAAGGTGCTCGGAAGTCAAGAAGCGGTTACTGCAGAGAAAGCCCAGTAAATCAATTTCATTGCGAAAACGCAAAATATTCGAGTAAAACCGAAATTTTGCTGGGGCAAAAATGAATTCGAATGTCGAAGATGACAATCCATCATCACCACCACATCCACCCACTATTTGAGGATCAGAACGCCATGACGTGGCTGGGGCCTGGGGAGGACCGCCAAAGGGGGAACACGCTGCACCAAGACGGGGTTCCCTGAAAATCTTGATGTACAAAACAGAAAATAACTTTGAATTAGGTTAAACTGACTTGCTATAGACTTTTAGCGATTATTAAAACGCTAAAAAGATGCAATTTGAAGGATTGAGTTTTTGGAGTGATACGTACTTTTTGGTAAGATTCATGAAATATAGGATTTAAAAATATTATTTTCGAAATAGCTTTTTTCTAACCTAAGTTACCGTACGCTTGATGTAAATACGCAATAAAAAGCGATTTAGCACAACTTTGAAGGATTTCGGAGTGATACGTACTTTTCGAAAAACATGATATAAAGCGCTTAACCGTAGTATTTTTGTAAATTCGTTCTGTGCCAGATTAAACTGCCGGATGATAAAAGTTAATGCGGAATAAACAATAAATTTAGGACAAGTTTGTAGGATTGGGTTTCTGGAGTGCCACATACTCTTCGAAAAAAAACGTTAAATAAGGGATTAAAAAGATATTTTTTTTCCGGAGCCTTTCTTTTCTAGCTTAAACTACCTTGCGTTTAGCACAGATCAAGAATCAAAATAGAAGTTACGTTGATTTTGAAGGATTGAGTTTTTGGGGTGGCACTTATACAGAAAAACCTTGAAATAAGGCGTTTAGCCTGGTATTTCTGTAGATTATTTCTTGAATAGATTAAACTACCTTGCGAGCAAATTCAATAAATAAATATCATTAAATTAAGACCGGCTTTCAAGGATTGAGTTTTCAAAAACTTGCATTTGATGATGCGTGGCATCCGTCGATAAAGATCGGGAGTGATATGACGGGATTTCGTGGGACACTTCTAAACCAGACAATTAGATATAATAAAAAACCAGCTGCCGCAAATTAATTATATGACGGTACTTACCACTCATACTGAAGCTGGGTTTATGCATTGGCCGAGGGATACCCGGTTGAGGGATATGAGAGGAGGATGAGGGGGCCGAATACAAAGAATTCACCAGTTCCGGGGCAGAACCCTATAAAGTGAAGGTCAGATAAGCTAAAATTATAAGTTGTAAGGCATTGGCTAAGACGGACCATTCTCTGATGCATATATTGGGGTTGGCCCACCCCTGGTGATGTTGATGATTGAGGGCTGAGCGTCAATTGGCTATTTGACTTGAACCCATCATCCGACGATCCCTGGAAAAAGATTTTTAGATAGGCTTCTATCCAGTTTAAAAGTTATGTAGGTTATAAATTACAAAAATCTGTACTTTTTCAGTATCCGGAGAGACCGAATTTGCCTAAAATCATTACTTTTGTTTTTGTAATTTTGCCCAGTAACTTAATAGTAAATATTCAAATATTGTTTTTATTAAATCTTAGCACAATCTAAAGTCGAAAGCCATCTAAAAACTTTTTTAATGTTCAAAAAATTCGGAATTTCTCTCAAAATTCGGGATTTTTGGTCGAAAAAATCGAAAAGTTTAACAGATTTTTCGTTTAGAGTATAGTAAAAACACAGCAATTTAGACAGTTTAAAAGATTCGTTAGCTAAAAACTAGAAAATACAAGAAACGACGTACCACTGGGGAATGTCCAGCAGATCCCCTGCCTCTATTGGTAGGTTGTTGATAGAATGCCGCTGGGAGTTGAGGCTTCAATTTCGAGTTTTCAATATTTGACCATTCTGGCATACCTTATTTGGCTTCTTGACAAATCGATTCGTGAAAAGATCCTCGATCGATTTCTTCGGGTCTTGATGTTCGATCGTTCGACTACTGCCCCCTGAAAAATCATATTTTATTTTTCCAAAAATTAAAATAATTTTTTCTCCTACTTTTTGACTCCAGCAACCCACCAAGATTTGTTTGAGTTTTTATTATTTTCTTGGAAGCCATCCCGGCTGGCCCTGCAAAGGAATGGGTGCTAGACAGAAAGGAAATTGAAGAGAAAAAAAATAAGAGAACAATTGAAAACTCAATCCATAGAAATAAGTTTTATATGAAAGGCAAGCAAAGCATTGGAAGCTCAATCCACCAGTATAGAGTATTTTGCGGAAACAATGCGATGGTTGGTTGGTTTCAATTCAGTTTGATGAAATCTGAGGGTTGTAAAAACTCAATCCACCAATTTCAACATTTATGCATAAAAACGTAGCTATTGCTTGGCATCATGCAGTTTAGCGTAATTTAAGCTCGAAAAACTCAATCCACCAAAGTAGACGTTACTGCGTAAAAAATCCAGCGAATCTCTTGGCTTCAAAGCAGCTTGACGAGCTGTGAGATTTGTAAAAACTCAATCCACGAATTTAAACGTTGCGTAGCGTAAGACGCAGCTAATCCCTGGGCTGCAGTGCTGTTTAGCTTAAGTTAATCTCTAAAAACTCAATCCACCCAATTAAGATTTCAAGATAAAAAACGTCGCGAATCGCTTGGCTTCCGTACAGCTTGACGCGCGGTGAGATTTGTAAAAACTCCATCCTCCAAATTTTCAGAATCGATAGCAACTACGGAAAAAACAACCAGAAAACACCCAGTTGACACGTTAGTTCAAATTAGACGGCGGTCAATTGGTTGCGAGCGTGAGTTGTTGCGGTACGTGGATATCTCGGGATGGGAGGAGGTGGACAAAAATAGATGGATCTCGAGGGGGAGGGGGAGGGCAGAAAGTCCGAATATGAGAACGGAAGATATGGAGAACGGGGATGAACTGTCCATTCGTCTCTACAAGCAAACGGAAAATACGCCAAAAAACCTCAATCCACTAAAAACGGCTGTAAACCTTAATTCTTTTCAGTCCAAGTCAGTTTGAAGTTATAAAATTAATAAAATTTCTATGGCATGCTGTACGTAGTTATAGAGTCAATTATTGGTATGGGCACGAGATCTGGGATAGCTATAGGTGCTTCTCTCTCTCCCAAATGGCTGTAATCGACAAGGGTGAAGGGGATCTCTCTCTCTCTCTCTCTCTCTCTCTCTCTCTCTCTTTTGACTGATAAATCGCCCGATCCATCGATCCCTATCCCCCCAAAGGCACACGCGTCAAAATTAGGAGAGGGCCCGCCGTGTGGGCCAATGGTCAGTCTGGGGACGAGAAATGGCCAACTGACACCTATTTCATAAGAGGGTGTGAAAATACTACCAAAAATGGTTAAATTGATGGGTAGAGCTTGTTAAAAGCTACACAGGTCGCCATTTTGTCAGAATATCGCTACGGTATGATTTCAAATTGATAAAATGCTGGATTGAGTTTTTGAAAAGCTGCTATTTCAGCCAGACAAACTATTGGGAATCAGAAACTGAACCGAGGTGATGTGACTAGTAAGAGAAGTGGCAGTCAACCTGGCAGATACACAGCCAAAAGACTGAACTCTCTGGTCTAATTGTGGAAAACGAGTCGAGTGAGAGAGGGAATGGAGGAAGGAAGGGAAACGACCAAACTATCTGATAACAATCCACTATTTTTAGATCTAGTCAGCAAGGGAAGGGGGAGGAAACTAGCCAGTTTCACAAAAAACATCGATCTGTAGGGCGACCGTCAAATTAAAGGGACCAGGAAGGCAAAACCTAACCTTTCCGGTGTCCACTGTATCACTACGTACTTTTTGCAAGATTGATCTCACTGTACTTGTTCTCCCCGTGGGAATCGTGGCCCTTCCCGTCTAAAGTCAAGAAAAAGAGGGTCAATCTGCAAAATCAACAATTCGAATGTGGGGGGTGGAGGGCAGGAAGGAGAAGAACAAGGAGGCGGTGCGCCCAGATGACTAGCTGCCCTTTAATCATCCAAAATAATCATCTTCTCTTCCACTGCCCTCCCTCCTCACTTCCGATTGATTAAGTGAACATATTGGCAATCAGATGATTCGCCATGAGTGCCATTTTCATGAATCGACATCAAAAAATCGGGAAAATTGCATAGCAAAGCGATGATTGCCATTTTTAGAAAACTCAATCCCCAGATTTTCAATTTACATAAAAGTTAGCATTGAAAATTGTTAGTGGTATGCAAAATAGCCAAATATAAGAAAGAGAAAGCATTAAAATAGTTCTTCCGGCGCATTAATGACTTGAGTGGCCGCGTTGGAGGTATATTAGCAGCACGTCGGCAAGAAAATAAGTTATTCCAAGGGTTGAGTATTTCGAAGACTCAATCCTCTGATTTACGGCTTACAACAAAATTAGCACTGGAAATTTCTCGAATGGGAAGCAATATAGTCAGCTCCAAGAAGGAAAAACATTTAAATAGTTTTTCCGGCGCTTTAATGGCTCAATTGGACGATACCAAGGTGCATGGACAAGCTAATTTCGAGAACAGTCTCAAAATCGAGGGTTAAGCCTTTGAATGATAACGGGTATAGAATAGTAACTTTTAGGAAACTCAATCTTCAGATTTTCATTTTTCAGAAAAGCTGGGATTGAAAATTGGTACAGTGAAATACAGAATAGTAAAATATAAGTAGGAAAACGCATCGAGGTATTGTTTCCGGAACATTAATGGCCTAACTGACTCACTTTAAGGGGCATGGACAATCTAATCATGATAAAATGCGCAAAATCGAGGATTGAGTATCTGGATGACAATAAGCATATCCGATCGAAGAACAGTGCCCCCTACCCCAGTTTGAGCCGAGAGGAAGGGGGGACAGCACCGATTGGGGGTCTCTCCGGGTAATGTGTGTGGAAGGAAGGAAGGAAGATAAGGGAATGACGGCTGGTACCAGGAGGAGAGAGAATGACCGACAGATAGAGAGACAGTAGAGATAGAGAGAGCATAGACAACACCATATCTGGAGGGAGAGAGAGAGAGAGACTGATTGCGAGCAGTCCAAACAGCACCCCCTACAAGGCCCACACTCCTCCTTACAGTCAGCCTCCCTCCTTCCTTCCAGTCGGAACCACATTTGCATACACTTAGCTGAACATCAAATAGACGATAGGAAGTGGTTGTATCTACGGGTAGAGTGAGGGAGGCCTAGGCTAAAGCCTAGGCTTGCCTAGGCTTCCTCAGGCTTTTCTAATTTGCATCGCCTAGGCTGAGCCTGGGCTATGCAAAGTACGCCTGACCTCTAATTAGTCAGGCTTTATCCGGAAATTTTATGTAAAGTCGTAGAATATTCGAAGTTTTGCCGAACAAATAAGGAATTTTTTGAAACTTCCGGGGGGTCGAAGAGCTGTATTGGGTCGAAGAATATTCTACAAAGTTAGGTTACTGTTTTTGACAAACCTTACGGCACGATACGTTAATAGCACGCGGATACACAAAAGTCAAGAGTCGGTTCGAACGGGCGGGGGATGCAATTGGCTCTCCTGACATCTTGCCTATATTTTTCCCACCTTCGGCATCCTTGTAATTTGCTATTGCGTCAAAGATACGAACGTTTTGGATGCAGTAACCAGATTAACATGTTTTTGCGCATTGCATAAAAAGCCTGCGTAAATCCTTAGGCTTCCGCCAGGCGTCGGCAGGCGCGGAAATGCAATTCGGCCCAAGAAAGCCTGAGGAGGCCTGCCGCTCCCTCACTCCCCGGGCAAACGGCCATAACATTGCAACTGTGGGCCAGGTTGTAGTTTGGGTTCTGTCACACAGACCAAAACTCAACCCTTGGGCTTATCGATTGAAGTTGTATAATTTCAATTTCTACCTTCTGTGACGGCCAGTAAATAAGAAAATCGCAACGACAAAATCTATCAAAAAAAAGGTTGGCATAAAATTGAATCGCGGCAGCTGTGGCCCAGATTGTAGTTTGGAGCCCCACTCAATCCTTCAAATCCTCGATTGGACCTTTGTAATTTTGTGGGTTTTTATTACTTCTATTACAGCCAGAAAACAAGAAAATCGGAAGGAAAAATATTTTTACCAATGGCAAAATCAATAGATTAGCAGAACTGTAAAATATGGGCCAAATTGCAGCTTGGAGCGAAACTCAATCCTTCAAATTAACGATTTAATTTTTCTAATCTCCATCAGCCAATTCTATTTCAGCCAGAAAACAATTAAATCGGATAGATCATACAGCAGACTGCTGCCACGCAAAATGCCAAATAACACCTTTTCGCAGGAAAAGCGTAACGCAGCTCCCTTTGGCATAGTATACGGTATCTATCCCAGCCACCCTGCCTCTCCCTCTCGACAATTGGGGGTTTCCCATATTCTGGCTATGCGGGGATGCTCGTTGCACCTAAATTGGCCCTACTACCGTATCCTCCCTCCATCCCCCGTTCCCCTCTATGGTTGAGACAAAAAGGGATTGGGTGGGCGACAGCTCGGCGCCAGAAAATCCGAATGATACCTCATTGGGGACACCTGCAACCCAGAAGGAAGAAACGAGAGGAGGAACAGGTAATATGACGGTTCGAACCCGTGTTAACACGGACAGATGGATTCACGAAGGGGTTTTTTGGCTGGGTAATGACGGGGCGGCATCGTCTTTCCATGTCCGAGTAGTCTGAGAAAGAAAAAAAAAAGTAAATTTCGGGCTGAAACGCTACTTTTTTGTTTAAAAAGTCCCATTACTATTTAAACTGTACTGAAACAAAAAATATTGTTAGAACACTTTCCTAAAACGTTGAAAATGCAAGGATTGAGTTTGGATTTTGTAGCTTTGAAGGCAACATAAAGAAATGTAGGTTAATAAACGGCGTAATACTGCCTTGGGCCTTAAGTAAGTTATGGATATTCCCGTAAACTGTAGCAAATAGAAACAAAATAAGCGGAGATGATAAAAATTCAGCGGAAATCCAAGGATTGAGTTTTTGAAAACTGCGAAAAGAACAGTCACCCGTCAGTTTGTAAATTCAGGGCATAAACCTCAAAAGCCTTTCAAAGTCTCGGCAGGTCTTTTCATTTGTTGCTAAACTGGTGAAAATTAATACAGAATTTGAAGAGCTTGGTAAAATTT